ATGGACAAAGACTAACTTTTAGCTAAAGGCTGTTGGATTTTCTTTCCCAAAGCTGATAATATTTAAATTTTACTTATGTAGGTTCAGACCGATTGCAAACAGCAGAATGATGCCGATAAGTAGAAACACGATTCTTTACAAAACGCAAAATGAAGATAGATGCAATACTTCATCTCTTTAATTTTTCTCAGTTAGAGTCTCTGCAAAGGTGCTCTAATTAACTTGCATCCTCCTAACAATGTCACCTTCTCTTTAAATGTCTGTTTCAGTCAGACAATAGTGGAAACAAATTTTACATTTGTCTTTTGAAATTCTATATATAAGGACAATAATATTTATCAAAATTATCACCCTTCTTTATACGGAAATTTTAAAAAAAATGTTGGTTTCATTCTAAATTTGATGAACATGCAACGTCCTGTGGCCTCTGGCTAAATTCTTCAAAAATCAGAACAAAGAGTTTATTCACCAATTAAAATGGAAATTTGAATGATTTTGAATAGCTAGGAGCAACACTGGTCCTTAACACTGTAAATTCAATTCTTTGAAGAAAGTAATGTTGTTAGTGGTATCCGTATTCAGAAAATAGGATCTATACCTTAATTTCGAGTGTGAATCGCTAAAATTACAGTTGTGAATCAAATTTATACTTGACTTTACTTCTGGTCCAGCACTGCTAAGAATTGCAGAAGCTTCATAAATCCCATAGCCACCCAAGATCAATCATTGTAGCAGAAAAATAACCAAGAGATTAAACTTCTCAAAGGTTTAAATAGTACTGGGTGATGTGTTTTGGAAGATTATTTGTGACAAAGTTGAGAGGGCATTCTTATCTCTGTTATAAAACCATATAAACAGGTAGGGTAGCTCAGCAGACTTTAAATTCAAAAGGATGAATAAGACATCCTGGGAACTTCTACATCCATGATGAGTGCCACTTGAATGTTAAGAAGAAACACCACTTTAATTTACATTTGATTGAACAAAACATGTTAGCCATTCCTATAATTTGTATTTTTTCGTGTTCAAATTAAAGGAATGATGATTCTGGATGCAATAATTTTGCAATTGTTTTAATTCTGAACAATTAATTTATGAAAAACATACATCCTTTTTTAGATTGAATGATATTAATTGTCACAACCACACCATGCATTTATGCAGAGTGTATGTGAATGTGAATTTGTACAGCTCATTTAGTCCCCTTCTAATTTTTTGAGAGTTACAATTTAAAAGAAACCAACAGTGAAGCTTTAGTCTTAAACAAGGAAATGCACTACACAGCTGAAAGCAACGTGTGATGATACTATGGCTTTAAGACATGTATTTTGTCCTTTCTTTATGAATAGAAGTTGAGACAGAGGTGTTGAGCAGTCTGTTCCAAGCCAATAATACAAACAACTTGTGAGGCCTTGGGTTTTTCCTAAAGTTGGAAAAATAGAAGCAGTATGAATAGGTGGAGTCAAGCTCCCACAGAACCAGTGTTTTAGTTTAGCTACAGCACCTGTTGGGATTTTGAAGATGGCTATAGAAGTGACTTCATCTCTCTCTGTTACTGCAAAAATCAGGAATTCTCTCTCTCTACTAGAATTTCGTCTTGATGTTCTTTCTTTCCTGTACTGGAGAAACATTGCATATGAGACCATTTATTTTACTGAATTTTCCTTTTGCCAAGCGTGTGTTTGTGGAATGTTACTATATTGGAACAGTTGCTGTTTAGTCATTAAATAAACAATTATTCTGTTAAGTTTTCCAATAGACTAAAAGTTACACCAATTCTTTCTTTTGTTTGTATTTTAACTGTAGAGCAAGAATAAAGTGTGTTTTGTGTAAAGCTAAATAGTGTAAACAATTGAATTACATCTGGAACACAGCACCTTACACTTGTCTTAAAAAATAGTTAGGATCTTAGGCTATCTCCTTGATATATTTGAAGGGGATTTCGTCTGGTCCATAACAAAAGTTATACAACTGTTCAGTTCAAATACAGGTACAAAGATTAAAGGAGGTGTGGATAAAAGTTACAGATATGGATGAGTTTATTGTTGTTGTTGGCCTAGATTGGTTGAAGATTTTTCTTTCTGAGGTGAAGGGGTTGAAAATGTGATGACAAAATTCAGCAGCATCAATGGCTTCTGTAGTCAAATAGCTGGAGGCTTCCAGCACAGATAGACTGAACAGAGCAGGTTCAGGAAGGCAGCACTACACTCCTTTATTTCATTTTTACCTCAGTGTAGGTTCTGGTTAAGTACAGCGTCTTTTGTCTGGTTCGCTGCCTTCTGTCTTCCTGTGAGGAATTCTTCCTCTCTGATGGCATCTCTCAGAGTTGTTCTTGGTGTTCTGCTCACATCCTGTTTAGAAGCATGATGCTCTGTCACCTTATCGTCATGTACAGTGTAATAATAAACATAGTTTAACAGTTATTGCCTGAGCTTGTAACAAGACCCAAGCAAATCATACTTGAACATGATCAAATAGTAGAAATTGGAGTTCTCTCACCCAGAATAGACTCTATACTTTTGCCTTTATATCTCTTCTAATTACTGCTCAACACTGAAGATGATTCTTTAGTTGAGGGTTCGGAGGGAGAGGTAAACAGTAATCAGCAGGAGATTTCCTTACTGTTATGATGTTATGAAATTTCACATGGTCCCTAGAGGATTTCCTGGATAATTCCCACCCAATGTATACCTGTATACAGGTATTTCTCCAATAACATGACAGTTTCGTTCCTACGTGACCTTGTGCTATAGAAAATCGCCATAAAAAAAATCTCATTATAGGGAAATCACTACAGAAAACTACACTGGACAGTAGAAAGTGGCATTATCCAAACAGCGTCCACTATTCATCAATCGTGTTACAGCCAATTTGCGTTAACAAAACAGTGTTATAGCAGAAATACTTGTATTGTCACCTCAGGCGAGTCTGTTCTGTCAGTGGGACAGAGCATAGCCAGGGGTGGTGATGGTGGTGCCTGGGACATTGTCTGCATGGTGTGATTCTACAAATATGACTGTATCAAGCTGTTATTTGTTTATGGGACAGCTTTCCCAATTTTGGCATAAAGCCCCAGATGCTAGTAGGGTAGGATTTGCGGAGTCAATAGAGTTGGGTTTGACATTGTTGTTTCCAGTGCCTGTGTTGATTTTGGGCAGTCTGTCTGGTTTAATTCCTGCTGGATTTGATAGCAGTTTGATACAACTGTGTGGCTTTAGGCCATCTCAGCGCACAGTTAAGACTCAGTTAAGGATGATCTGGAATCCTGGAAATGGGAGCCCCATTGCCATTGCTAAAGGGCTCTTAAGTCAGCACAGTTTGGCAAAAATCTTGCCGTAAGCATTTAAAAGAAATAGAAAAACTGTAATTAATAAAACACTATAATACATGAAAAATGCCATGGAAGTTTCAATCAAGTTACTTGCAGTTGCCCTTAACGAGCATTCCAGGTCATCTTGCCTCATCTGGGGTTTGGCTAGGACAGAGTGGCTTTGTTCCTGCTGCATTGTGTTGAAGTCTACTTGGTTTACTGTGGTGAAGGCTTTGAGAAAAGTTGGGCAGGTAAGTGTGACTCGCACTGATTGGGACAGTCCTGATACTAATCAGAAGATTTAGCTGTTGTGGACATATTGTCATGTTCATTTACAGTGCTGATCATCTCCCATTTGTAATTTACAAATAAATTGGCGAGTTTTCAGAAATAACATTGTTGCCTATATCCCTGCTGAGTATTTCCAATATTTTCAGCTTTTCTTACAAATTTTCAGCAATCCCAAAATGTAGCCGTTGAACATATTTCTGAGTTGTACAATTGACAACTCTAGCTTCTCAGCTCTCCATCCTATTTTTATATTCTGACTTTATAATTATATTATAATTTAATACAGATCATTCTATCTTCACCAGAGAAATATCCCACTAACTCATAAAATTACATCAAATTTCACTCCACACAGACAGGCTATTTGGCCCATCTGGCCAATAGTGATACTTAGGCTCCACACAGGCCTTTTCCCAGTTTACTTTATTAATCTCTATCCATATATCCTGAAATTATTTTCTGTATCAAGGATTTATCTAGTTTTCCTCAATGCATTTCTTCTATTCACCTAAACTACACCCTGCAGTAGCAAGTTCCTCATCCTCCACTACTGACTTAGATTTGAGAAGTTTTTCCTGAGTTGGACTGGGTTGTTTATTGGTAATGTTCTGCTTCTGGCCTCTGTTTGGAAAGATTTTCTTACAGTCCACCCTATCAAAAGTTTTTTTTTATAATTTTTGTAAAATTTACTGGGTCACTGTTTCTGTTCTCTTGGATTACATTGAATGCTTTCATTTTGTTCATGGGTCATGGATATCCGCTGGCTGGGCCAGCATTTATTGCACATCCCTGTCTGCCCCAGAGATGGAACAGCCGGGGATACTGGGATCAGGACAGGAGAATGAAGCTGCCTTCTTTAACTGCTGCAATCCCTGTGATATAGGGAAAAGCACAATGCATTAGGGAGTTCCAGCATTTTGATCCAGTGACAGTGAAGGAACAATTGATATATCTCTAAGTCAGGCTGGTATGTGGCTTGGAGGGAAACTTGCAGGTGGTGGTGGTTCCATGTATTTTCTGAGACAACGAGGTGCAGAGCTGGATGAACACAGCAGGCTAAGCAGCATCTGCCCTGGTCCTTCTTGATGGTAGTGTTCATGGGTTTGGAAGATACCAAGTAGTCTTGTAGAGGGAACACAAAACGAAGAAAAACATCAGCCCATCAACCAACATTGGAGTCGTCCACGTACCCAAGAATGAAATTCAGAAGCAAAAAGGCAGATTGTAAATATGTTGAATATTAGGAGGGTGCAAATAAGAACAGCCACTTGGACTAAAAGAACTGTAGAACCTATTGTGTTTCCACATTCCTATTTCACATTTGCAGTTGCTCGTTTGTTTTAAATCTCAAAGAAATGTGGATAAGTACGACTATCTGTTTTCCAAGGCGGCTTGCAGAGACAGTTCAGGGTTTATGCAGCAAGTCTCGAGTGATACATGTGACTCGGAAACAGGAACCAGCATCATTCTGTACAAGGCTGCGGTGGGGGAATGTGTTGTGGAATCGGCTAGCTGAGCTCCGGCCTCTGGAGGATGGCGATCAGTTTGTGGAGTGTGGCCTGGATTTGGCTGGCTTTGCGACAAAGCCCGAGCGCTGCAAGCCGGGGGCCGAGACAGCAGACATGGCCAGTGCCGTACAGGTCAGTATGGCCCGGGCTGATCAGCAGTGACCACGGTGCCGCACAATGCGGAAGTGATACTCCTCAGGGCAGTAGAAATGGCTTGAAAGTGAGGTTCGGGTTTGGAAATTAAACGTTAATAAAAGCACTGTCATTGCTTCTTTCTTTGTAACCTGTACTTTGGATGAAGCAACTGTACTGCAACTTGAATGGTGAAATTATAACTTTTTAAAAAAAAATTTAGTGACATAAAATATATTATTTAGTGTCTGTTCAATTGTAAAGCACCCCAGGCGTTTTGTTAAACACCATTTGAGGTTCGGAACAGCTGACCAAAAGCTTGTTCAGTTTTAAGGGCCGACCTGAAGTAGAGAAGAGAGAATACTGAGATGGAAACAGTAAGTGTCAATAGGAAATATTACTGGCAGCATTCAGCAGGTCCGACCGCATCTGAGGGAGAGAGGAATAAGGGTGATTGAGGACGCTGCATTTTTTTTTCGACTGGTCTGAGTACTTATGTTGACTGTTAATTTCAGAATTCCAGCATCTGCGTCTGTTGGCTTTAACAATCCGATCGTTCATTTCTATTTAAAAAGGAAGGATTTAACTTTTTTAAAAATTGGGAGCTGACTAGATGCAGTGCTGGAAACAAAAATCGAAACTGTGGTGAATGTGAATTGGTGTGCCTCTGGCACAAAGTGGAATGTAAAAGTCACAATTTAAAATTGGCCCCGAGTGTAGGGATATTATCGTACAATTTTTTTTGTCTAATGGGTCCCATCTTATCAAGAAACATCAGATGTAATCATAAGATTTTAATTACCAATATGCTTTGTAATGGTATATTTACCAAGTCTTTGCTTCTAAAGAAACAGTAACTGTCCGAATAAACAGAATTTCTTTGTCTACTGTGTTCTTTTGCTATTGAATGAGTGTCTCTTCCTGACCGCAGTCTGAGATTAAACAGTCTGATCACAATAATTATATTTCATTTGGTTCTGAAATACGTTTTTAACCTCCCATTCATCCCACCTCCTTAACATCTGCCTTGGTCCCCATCTCTCCTGACTATTTAAGCACCTTGAGGGTCACTGAATCCAAAACGTTAACTCTGCTTTCTCTCCGCAGATGTTGCCAGACCTGCAGAGCCTTTCCAGCAATTTCTGTTTTTATTCCAGCACCCTCCTGCATTCTATTCTCTGTAAACATAAGGTCCTCCAACCTTTGCTACCCACATCTCTTCACATGGAAATATCTGTTGTCCTCTTCCCTCCTTGCTCACTGACCTACAATGGCTACTAGACAAGCAACATCTTGATTTGTGAGAGATAGTAAGAACTGCTGATGCTGGAGTCAGAGATAACAGTGTTGTCCCGACCCGAAACGTCAACTTTCCTGCTCCTCTGATGCTGCCTCGCCTGCTGTGCTTCTCAGACTCCACACTGTGTTGTCTTGATTTTTATGGTGTTTACCCAGGTTTTCAATTCTCTTCACTGTGTCATTCCCTTTCCATCTCTAACGTCTTCCAGCCGCAAAGCAGTGAGATACCTGCACTTATCTATTTCTAACCTCTTGGGAAGGCCTTCCAGAACTCGGGCGTTCAGCAATTTGAAGACACATCACCAATGATGAGACGATTGAAATTGGGGATGTGCTGCAGTAATTCTAGCTGTTGTGCATTCCCAGCTTTAATTGGTTCACCATTGCTGGTTGCTGCGTCAATTGTCTAGACCTTAAGCTCTGGAATATCCTCCATACACCTCTTTGACTAAGCTTTACATCATATTAATATCCCTTTATGTGGGTCTGTCATATTTTGTTTTATAATGCTCCAGAGAAGTCCCTTAGGACATTTCATTGTGCAAAAGGCACTATGTAAATGCAAACTGTTGTTTTATTCCACATGTTCAGTATACTGCGTAATCCAGTGACACTGTCAAAGAAAAATGCACTTAAGATTTTTGTTTTAGGAAACGCACAAGGAAACAGAGAGGAGAAAAAAAATGGCTGAGTAAGGAAAACTGCTGCCACTGCCTAGGGTTCACATCCCATTCAAGTTGCTCCAAGAGCTTCATAAGGCTTAAAAGCCCATTGGTTCTAAATGAATTACTTACACTTGGACAGGGGATTGCCAAATTTGTCCTTATTTTTGAAGGTATGGTCACATGAATTGTTTACAACTGTCTCACATCATAAAATAGCTCACCTCCTTCAGCTCCAGTAACTTCTTTTTAAGCTAATAAAATTAAAGTGTTGAAAAATTGCAAACTACTGAGTGTTTCTGCCTTTTTTTTCTGCATGCAACCGTGTCTGAGAGATTCACCTTTATTTGTAGGATCTCTAGGATTATTCTGGAGAGTTGGCAACCTCATTTAGTGGTAAGTTTGACTCATTTCAGAGATGAGATTCTCTATGTGGGGTGAGCATCAGCTGCTGCTTCCTGCTAAATCACTGGAGTGCAGACTTTAATATTTTTGCTTTATGATTGTACTTGATATTTTCTAATTGACTTGTTCTGAGATGTTATGACACATCGGTGGAGCAATTGGGACTTGAACCCAGGCCTTCTGGCTCAGAGGCAGGAACAAGACCACTGTGCTACAGCAGCCCCTAAATTCTTACTTTTTAAAAATTAACCTATTTTTCTAATTGACCTCGTCAGACATGTTATTACATATCTCTGGAACAGGTGGGACTTGAACCCAGGTCTCTTGGTCTAGGGGTAGGGACACTACCACTGTGCTGCAAGAGCCCCTAACTTATTCTCATATAAGCATGTGAAATGATTTCACATTACACAACTTCTGTTTTTGGCCTGATGTGTGGTGCTTTACTCAATTGCTAGTTAACTTCACTGTCTTTTCAGACGATTTGATCATCGGCCTAAGCCTGATCCTTTCTGCCAGCCCGTGTACCCATTCTGCCCTACAGGCTCTCCTGATGGGGAGATTCCTCAGATGAAAGATCAGGACATCATAGAGGTTTATCGGCTTCAGACTCCTGTTTGGGAGTTCAAATACGGAGATCTGCTTGGACATTTTGTGAGTATTTACATTATTAAATATTAAAAATAAAATGAAGCAGTTTTCTTTTATACTGACCTAACAGATGTGGTCCACAAAATTCTGCAGGGTTATTCAGTACAGACTTTGCAGTCAGTCAGATCAAGGGCAACTTTTATGTCATTGCAAAATGATTATGGCACTACATTATTATCCATAAATGGTCAGGATACCACATCACTCCTGTACTACAGTCTGTGAACTGAACTAACCATGTATCATTTGATAGGACTTAGTGAAATCTGCAAAATATATTCACTGTCTGTCTAAACACATTATTTTTAGCTTCTGGAAGTCACAAGAGAAAAATATAAATCATGACAGGAACGTAGGCTGCAACTTCTAAACATATTTCCGGAGTTCTTTCTCCATTCAAATGGTCAGTGAGGTCTGTAGGTGTGTATGCGAAGAGTGCTACGTGCTGAGGTGAAAACCATGGGCATTTGAAGGTGTTATTGCTGGACTACGTTGCAAATTCATGTCGAGTGCGGAGATGTATTTCGTGGTTTAAGTGGTAGCTGTCCATCTTACAAATAGTAAGGGAGCTTTGATCACCCTTCCAAGATAGTTTCTGCTATTGTAATTGATTATAGAGTAACCCTGTTGAATCAAGTCATGGACAGGCCTTTATATATTTTGTAACACTTCATCCACAAACTGTGTTAAGCTGCATGAATGAAGTGACCTGTGAGAACCAGGAGGGCAAAATGAGATGCAGATTACTATTTCGTGTGAAGGTTAATGAGACAAAAAGAGAAATTGCTTGAAAAAGCTCAGTAGGTCTGGCGGCATCTGTGGAGAGAAAGCAGAGTTAATGTTTGGGTCAAATGACCTTTCCTCCGAAGTCCTGAGGAGCAGTCATTCTACCCAAAATGTTAACTCTGCTTTCTCTCCACAGATGCCAGCAGACCTGCTGAGCTTTTCCAGCAGTTGTTTTTTCTCTGATTGGCAGCACTGGCAATTCTTTCGGTTTTTATTTTGTAATGTTATGATATGTTTGACAAATGCAGGATATGTAACAAAAACTTGAATGGTATGTTCATTTCTACTTTAGTATGGTGTTTCTTTATCATTTTAAATTAAAGTGTTCTAATTTGCAACCACAAAAAAAAATTAGTTTACCGCCAAATTTCCAACCCAATAAGAAGCTGTCAAGGGAATGTTCAAAATAGGTAGAGTACAGGCAGTCAGTATTGGAGATTCACATTAGTAATGGATAATTTTTTTTGACTGCAGCATATCATGCACGATGCAATTGGTTTCCAGAGCACACTGACAGGCAAAAACTATACTATGGAGTGGTATGAACTCTTTCAGCTTGGGAATTGCACCTTCCCACATCTTCGACCTGGAATTGAAGCTCCTTTCTGGTGCAATCAGGGAGCAGCCTGTTTCTACGAGGGAATCGATGACTTACACTGGAAAGAAAATGGTTCTTTGGTAAAAGTATCTGAAATAACTGGTGAGTTTGTTGACTAATAAACTATTACAGAAAAATCAATTGGCAATTCACACAGTTACTTTCACTAACCTACACCTGAAAGAACTGTCATGATTAAAGGATGTAATTTAGTACAAGGTCAGTGGCAAAGATGAAATGGATGTGCGAGTTAAACACAATTAAAGACCAACAAAATGTTTTAATATGTAACCAAACTACATAATTAATTTGAAACTGCAATATCCAACAGGTGAACTTAAATCTATTAGGGCAAAGTTGCCATTTGGAACAGATACTTCTGTAACACACCATGGCAGAATGCATACTGTGAAATGTCCAGTTTAATGGATATTTATACTGAACTCCACATTTTGCTACCAATTTCTGCTGGTTGAGGAATAGTAAATGGAGGGACTTTAACCCAAGAGTGTATGAAATCCATTTCCTCATTCTTAGTTGGAGGCTACACAAGATTCAATGTACATGGACATTGTGACAAAACTGATTGTCCCGTTTCCTTGTTACTCTGAACAGACCCTAAATGCACAGCTGGATTATGGCAAGAATGTTGATGTTTGTGCATTTACAAGGAGTTAATTTTTGATTCTGTAGAGGCTACTGGGTTTTACCTGGAAAGATTTATTGTTGAGAACATTTTGTACTAAATTGGAGCTTTACACTGTGAATTAAGCTGCTGACAACAGGCTAGTCTGCGATTCATCTGTTTTATGTGGCTTGTCTAATATTGAGGACACCAATAGAATAGCAGCAGGGCACAATGGAGAAATCTGAAATAATGGCATTTTGCACTTGGTGTTAAAATCAGTTGCCACTGAAGCTTAGCATGTAGCCTGTGCATAGCTATTACTGATACATCTGTGTTTTACAGTAGACAGTGATTCTCAACTTTAAATTGGTAATTCTGTTTCTGTAAATTGAATGCTTGGAAGATCAACTGTAGCAGTGATGGTACACTGCAGCAAAATTACATGTACAATTGTATCTGGCACTCAGATATGGGAATCCTGTGGAAAATTTCTAACCTTACACCAAATGATAATGCTTAAATTTGCTTGACAGTTTTAGTAAGTGATACATTGCATTAGTAGTTTAAACTCTGATCTTGTGATTTAATACCCTATCAAACCTTTTTGATTTAGATTTTTTTCTGGCATTCACACATCATTTTAGGAATTAAACACCATTTAGGATGCTGGAAATCTGAATCAAAAACAATACTGTAGAAAGACAGTAAGGCTGGCAGCAGAGATAGTAAGAACTGCCAATGCTGGAGTCTGAGATAACACGGTGTACAGCTGGATGAACACAGCAGGCCAGGCAGCATCACAGGAGCAGGAAAGCTGACGTTTCGGGTTGGGACCCTTCTTCAGAAATGGGGGAGGGGAAGGGGGCTCTGAAATAAAGTGGGGGGGGGGGGGGGGGGGGGGGGGGGGAGTGTGGTCAGTGATAGCAGGTAGATAGTGGAGCAGGTCGGGGGAAGGTGGTGGTGGTGGGATGTGGGTAAGAGAAGACAGACAGGTCAGGGAGGTGGGGATGAAGCTAGTAAAGGTGAGTGTAGCTTCATCCCCGCCTCCTTGACCTGTCCGTCTTCTCTCCCACCTATCTGCTCCATTATCTACCTGCTATCACCGTCCCCCACTACTCTATTTATTTCAGAGCCCCCTTCCCCTCCCCCATTTCTGAAGACGGGTCCCGACCCAAAATTCCTCTGACGTCTGGCAGCATCTGTGGAGAGGAAAACAGAGTTAATGTTGAGTTTATGACCCTTTTGTGTTCTCTGTACAGATGCTGTAGACCTACTGTTTTGCCAGCACTGTCAGTTTTTAAGTTGCTTGTTTAATATCATGTAATTCTTATTTATTTGTCTTTAGGAGACATATTCAACAAACTTGCCAAGTGGGTGAAGGAGGATAACAGAACAGGCATATATTATGAGACATGGACTGTTCAAACTGATCCTTCTCCAAATGCTACAGTGTGGTTCAAATCTTATGACTGTTCAGCATTTGTATTGAGAACGTACCAGACTCTGTTTGAATTAGGTGCTGTCTTTAAGAGCCCTATACAAACTAACTATACTAGAATATTTCTTTACAGTGGTGAGCCAACCTATCTTGGAAATGACACAACAATATTTGGACCACAATGTAACAAGACTTTAGGAAAAGAAATTACTTCCTTTTATTTTCCTTTTAGACCACCTCATTCATTGAAAGAACTAATATTAAGTCTGTTGGAAATAGTTAATAAGGTGGTACTGGAGAAGACCTTTTATCTCTACTTCAATTTTGAGTATTGGTACTTGCCAATTAAAAAACCCTTTGTTAAAATAACATATGAAGAAATACCTCTGCCATCTAAATTGACAGGTGCTTAGCAACATGTGCAGAAGGAAAACCAAATGCAAAAATGTAAGTTTTGGCTCTACTTTTGTGTATCAATCCTTTTGTAAGTACTGTGTATAAATTCGAAGTTATTTAATATTTTTGTTCCTTCCCTTGTGCAATAGTATACAGTTGAAAACAATTCTGCATCACAGCTACAGAACAAGAAGATACAATAATAACACTGGTTAAAATTATTAACTAAGTTATTCCAACTCCTCCTCACTTGTGAAATAGAATCCTAGAAAATAGCAGCTAAGGCTTTAGAAGTCACATATCCGAGAATAATTAACTCCGTGGAATTGTCTACTTGATGAATGGGATTACAATTCAGAGAATTACATTTAAAATGTACTGGTTAATACACCATCAACTTTGTGCCTGGGGTCAGAAAGGGAAGAAGAATGTTGTTGTAACTAATAGTGTGGAACGAATGATGGATGACTAGGAATGGTGTATTTCAGAACAATTTAATTGTACACTTTGCTGTGTTCTAAAGACATATCATTCAACATCTTTATCAATTCCAAACTAAAGTTGCAACTGTTATACATTGGCTGAATCTTGAGCCAATGACCTACAATAAATATGCACTGTTAGTTTGGCTTAATGAATTTTGACTTGTAGAGGACATTATAAAAGTGTATATGTGCTCAGATATTTACATTTCTTCTGAAATTGTACAAAGTCTACTTTACCAATTTACATTGTATTTGTTGTTTAAGCTTCAAAAATTTAGACTTCAAAATTGTCCATAGTTACTCAAGCAGTAAGTCTTCCACATTAAGTTGCTAATACTATTACAGTTAATGTCTTTCTATATCCATATGAGTGTCCTTGTATGGGTAAAAAAATTGAACAAACACAGATATTGAGAGTTTGGATGTTTTTTTTATTGCTAGCACATCAGCTGTGAACTGCATAATCATTACTTGTCTTCCATGTACCACAGAAATATTTTACCACAGCTTCAAGAGCAGCATGGTTAGTCACGAGTAAAGTTGCACTTTCCAGCTACACTTACAATAAGGAGTTTGTTTAGAGTGGAGGAAGAGGGTATACTGCTGCTTTTGCCCAATTCCAAAGTGAGGAAGACCTAAGCTGAGATTTCTGCTTTCACCATTTGACAGTCTAAATGGCATTATCATCATGCCAAGTCTGGGAAAAGTACCAAATACTTGTAGATGTTACCTTCCATACCACAATGGATTTTATTTTTCTGCAGCATTCATTCCTCTGCTGAGAAGGTCTGGTTTCCAGGGTTCACCGTGAGGAGTATTGAATATGGCATGAAGGAAGGGAGAAGCTGTTGATTCAGAGAAGACTTCTGATCAGTTACTTTTTCACAAAGAGGTATTTTAATATCTGTCTCAGCTCCTGTCTCATGTCCAAACATATTCAGCCACTTCCAAAATGTGGATGTTTGCTAATGATGAGTGTTCAGCACCATTTGCCACTCCTCATATACTGAAGCTGTCCATATTCAAATGTAGCAGGACCTAGATAGAGCCAGATATGGACTGGTAAATGGCAAGTAATAATTTGCCCCACATAGATGCCAGGCGTTGACCATCTCCAATAAGAGACTAACTGTTGGCTCTTGCTTTTTAATTGCATTATAAGTGGGGTGTTCAGCAATGTTACCATTAATCAGAAACTGAACCACAACAGCAAGATAAATAATGTGGCTACGAGAGCAGGTCAGGAGGTTAGGAATTCTTTGTTGAGTAACTTACTGCCTGTCCCACCAATGCCTGTTCATCTACAAGGCACAAGGAGTATGCTGGAATACTCTCTGCTAGCCTAGATGTGTGCAGCTCCAACAATACTGAAGTAGTTTGACACCCCATTCATCAACTTGAATATTAACTCCCTTCACCACCAATGCACAATGGCTGTAATTGAGAAGATGCACTGCAGTGACACACCAAGATTCATACAACAGTGCCTTCCAAATCTGCAACCCCTATGACCAAAAGGACAAGGGCAGCCAGTATAGAAGGACACCTCCAGCTGCAGGTTCCCTTCCAAGTGATACAGCACCCGGACTTGGAACTACTTTGTTTCACTGTCACTGAGTTAAATCCAGGAAATCCATTTCTATCAGCACTGTGGGTACCCCCACACCCAGCATGGCAGCTGTTCAAAAAATCAGATCATCACCATTTGCACCAGGGCAAGTAAGAATGGACAATAACTGCTGGTCATGCCAGCGGCACCTACATCCCATGAACAAATTAAGAAAATACCAGTGAACAGAGAGTTTCTCACCATTGAAGCATCATTAATACGTAATGAGTCAGGGATTGTACTTTTGTCTTTCTTAACCATATAAACATTCTAAGTAACACTTAAAAGAATTATAATCTTAAACAGAACAATATCACAATTTCATTCAGATGGTAGATAGATCCAGTTTCAATCTTTGCCGATTGTGAAGCCACGACAGTACACTGTGGTTTTCAGAAAGTTTTCATCCTTGGGATCAAACAGGGTGAACAAATGATCTTACCGCATCCTAGTTAGAAACATACTTTTGCAAAGCTCCTCAACAGTCAGGAAGAAATGTTTACAACTAACACAAGCCACAGCACTCTACAGCCAATGAAGAACTTTTCAAACGCAGTCACTGTTGTAATGTCAAAAATTTGGCAGAAAACCTGTGCAGAGCAAGTTCCTAGAAACAGCAATGTGATAATGAGCAGATAACCTGCTTTTACAGAATTGGTTGAGGCAATAAGGGGAGAACCACCTTGCTCTTCACTGAAATAGTAACATGGGCTCATTTACACAGCCTTTCTATACCTTGATTACAGGTGAAGGAGACTTAAAAACTTCATTTGTTCTGCTATGCAAAATTCAATTTCATAAATTATATAAATTATATAACCTCGACAAACCATTGTCAATATGAAATATTTTGTTTTGCTATATAAAACAAAATCGAAATCAGCTCAGAATATGTGTTCATAAGCGTTTGGTTTTCCTGGTTGCATATCCTTAAATAGATCTTTTGACCTTGGCAAATTTCTACAGTTAAAAACACAAACAACCTTCCCTAAAACAAAGTATATCTCAAAATGCATGGAGTACAATGGATTATTTGGATACAATGTGCATGTACAAAACAAGCATTTAATCAAAGCAATGCAATTTAAATAATATGTCCGTTCAAGTACCAAGATTTTAGCGTTGAATACAGACCACAATTAAACATTCGATGTACTGGACACACCAAACTCAAAATATTTACTTGATGTTCATAAGAATAAAAACTCTTCTTTTATGGGCTTACTTTCAAAAGAACTCTTACCCTTTTCTAGAATTCATAACCTCAATTATTTGAAATGACATAGAAAAGACAAAGATATTTGTAACAGACAGAATGCTAGAGAAACTCAGCAGTTCTGGTAGAGAGAGAAGCAGTTAACATTTTGAAAATGATACAACTTCTTCAGAACCAAGATATTTATTCCTGTTTTAGTTTTTTAAAAAATATATTAATGTCCGACCAAATACTGTTTGATTAATCTCCCACTTATCAAAAACGAAAGAGAAAGCAAACTCTGAAGTGTTATTAATGGAGATGTGAGGTTTGATACAGTATTAATAGTATTTATGTATTTGTCACAGATGTTAATTAAAATGAATCCTCATGCTCATTGTAAGAGTATCCTTCTGATATAATTTCTTACAAGGTAAGACATCTAAGCCTGGAATCCAGTTTTCAATCTCTGCATCATTTTTAGAGATGGAGTGTCATATTTGTTGAAATACTTTCACATAATTAGGGTGTCATTTATTGCCAATGAGCTACGAAATATATTGGTAAGGGGATTTGCAAATATCATACTTTGTGACATCAGATGGAAATGGTCAGAAACTAAAGTACTGTTTGCCTCAAATGTATAAACATTCCTACTGTGCCCTCCCTTATGATAGCAGGCACTTAATGCTGTATTGCCCTCTCAACTTAGAGATTAGGAATTAGAAGCATAGTAGGTCATTGAGCCCATTCTACTTATCCATCCAATTTAAATCTTGATTCACTTTAGATTTCAAAAATCTATCAATCTCATCCTTGAATATACTCAAAGACTGAGCATCCACAAACTTCTGACATAGAAAATTCCGAAGTGTGAGATGAAACTACTTATCTCAGTCTGAAATGGTGCCTCTCTGAGGCTTCGTTTTGGGATCCAGCCACAGGAAACCACTTTCCAGCACCCATTGTCAGAATCTTCACCTTTGAATGAGATCACCTTTCATTCTTCAAAACTTCAGAGTATAGGCTAATTCTACTCACTCTCATAGGGCACGCCACTCATCACTGGAATCACTCTAGTAAACCCTTTAAGCCAACCATTTCCTTTATATGCAAGACCAAAACTGTACACAATACTCCCGATATTTCACAAAAGCTCTATCCAAGTGTAGTAAAATCCATGTTGTTTCACTTGAATTAGTTCTATTGGTCAGTATTGGTTAAGATAAATCCACTATAGCTTTCTCTCGTAGTTTTCTTCCTCCCATGTTTCAGATTCTTGAAAGACTTCCACAATTTTTTGTGCATACATATGGTCAGCGGAATTCTCAGTCCATCAGACTGATTAAAATACAAACAACAATGCAACACAGGAACAGGCCCTTCTGCCCACCAAGACTGCGCTGCCTTTCTAAACTAAAAACCTTTTGCCTCTATGTGGTCCGTATTTCTTTATTCCCTACCTATTCTTATCTGCGAAGATGCCTTTTAAACATTGCTATGGTATCCGCCTCCATCACCTGTTCTGCCAGCACGTTCCAGGCACTTACCATCTTCCGAGTTAAAAAAAAGACTTGTCTCTCACAGTAATAGAGATGTACAGCACAGAAACAAACCCTTCAGTCCAACTCATCCATGCCAACCAGATATCCTAAAGAAATTTAGTCTCATTTGCTGGCATTTGCCCCATATCCCTTTCAACCCTTCCTGTTCATGTATCCATCCATAAGCCTTTTAAATGTTATAACTGTGCCAGTCTCCACCACTTCCTTGGGCAGCTCATCCCAAACATACACCACCTTCTGTGTGAAATAGTTCACCCTTAGGTCCCTTTTAAAATCTTTCCCCTCTCACATTAAGCCTATGCCCTCTAGTTTTAGACTCCCCTACGCTGGGGAAAAGACCTTGTCTATTTGCCCTTTCCATGCCCCTCCTGATTTTATAAACTTCTTTAAAGGTCACTCCTCAGCCTCCGATGCACCAGGGAAAACAGCCGCAGCTTTTCAGCCTCTCCCTATAGCTCAAACCCTCCAACCCTGGCAACGTCTTTGTAAATTTTACCTGCACCCTTTCGAGTTACACAACATCCTCCTATAGCAGGGAGACCAGAATTATCTGTTTTCCAAAAGTGGCCTAAGCAACATGACCTCCCAACTCCTATACTCAACACGCTGAACAATAAATGCAAACATACCAAACGCCTTTTTCACTATCCTCACCTGCGATTCCAATTTCAAGGAACTATGAACTTGCACTCCAAAGGTCTCTCTGTACAGCAACACTCCCCATCTTCTTTAAATGCATCCTCTTTTATCTTAAACCTATGCCCGCTGGTAATTGACATTTCTACCCTAGGGAAAAGACTGCCAATTCTATCGATGCCTGATATAATTGTGTAAACTTCTATCAGGTTGCCCTCATGCTCTATAAAGTTCAAGTGTGGACAAACCAAGTTTGTCCAATCTCTCCTCATAGGTAATACCCTCCAAACTGGAACAGAGATTTTAGCATTTGTCTTCTGTGATCTCAGTGGTACACCAGGAAGGATAAGTGTAATTATATAAGAGTTAACGTTTCAGGTCTGATGACCCTTCCTCAGAACTGTTCTGAGGAAGGGTCACCGGACCCGTAACGTTAACTCTGATTTTTTTCTTCACAGGTGCTGCCAGACCTGCTGAGCTTTTCCAGCAACTTTGTTTTTGTTCCTGATTTACAGCATCCTCAGTTCTTTCGGTTTTTAAATGTAATTATATCTTTGGCAAAAGAAGATATACTGCAGTAGTACTGAGCCACTACTATTAAGCAAGGGCCTAAAGGATCACTGAATCAAGGCAGGTCAATGCTCAGACTGGCCATCATCTAATTGAATGGCTTAGTTCTGTTCCTGTGTCACAATTAGCTTGGAGTTTTTTTGTTCGATTTTCTGAAAAGATAAATCAACCAATTTAACTAAAACAAAGATATGCAGAATTAGCTTTTTTTTTTGTGATGGATAGAGGATAGAGCTTTTTTGTTCTCTTACTCAGTAGTAATAATCAAAC